AAGATGAGGCTTTCTGCTCCCGTAAAGATTTACAGCCTCGGAAACCCTGTGCAGGGTCGCTATGAGTCGGAAGTGACTCCACGGTACATAACAACAACAACACAATAGCAGAAATGCCACAACTGGTGGCTGTAACAGAGAAATTAATTTTCTCACAGCTTAGGATGCTAGAAGTCCAAATTGATGCTGCTGGCTCTAAGGGGAGGCTTTCTCTGTCAGCTCTAGAGGAAGGTCCTTGCCTTTTGATCTTCGGTTCCTTGATGCGCTTTGGCGTCTCTCTTTCGTCATTACTGCTTTTTACATGATTGATAAAGCTCTTTAATATCTCAATCTTGTTGTTGTTGTTAAATGCTGCCGAGTCGGTTCTGACCCATAGCGACCCTGTATAGGGTTTCCAAGGAACAGTTGGTAAGCTTGAACCACTGACCTTGCAGTTCAAACTGCTTTGCAGCCTGGCACATTAACCCACAGCACCACACCAGGACTCCTTAATATCTCAATGTTGTTGTTGTTAAGTGCCGTCGAGTCGGTTCCGATCCATAGAGACCCTGTACAGGGTTTCCGACGGTGTAAATCTTTACAGGAGTAGAAAGCTTCATCTATCTCCCGCGGAGCGGCTGGTAGTTTCAAACCGATGACCTTAAGGCTCGCAGCCCGATTCGTAACCACTACGCTACCAGAGATGGACTCAAAATACACACTACTTGAAGTCCTGGTGCGGCACTACAGGATAATGCACAGTTTGAACTGCAAGGTTGGCAGGTCAAACCCACAGCTTCTCCTCAGAAACCCTATACAGCAGGAGTGGGGAAAGTCCAGTCCCTCGGTTTTAAAAGGTCCTGCCAGGCAACCACATTTCCAGCCATCACATTGCTGTTCCTGTTGTTAAGTGCCATGGAGTCGGTTCCAACCCATAGCGACTAGGTTTTCGAGGAGTGGCTGGTGAGCTTGAACAGGTGACCTTGAGGTTCACCGCTGCTGTTGTTGAGTGCAGTCGAGTTGGTTCTGACCTACAGCGAAGCTGTAAAGGGTTTCCGAGGAGCGGTTAGTGAGCTTGAACTGAGGATCTTGCGGTTCAAACTGACATTCCAGTCTAGCGCATTAGCCCACCTCCTGTTTCAACATTGTTGTTGTTAAAGGTCATCGAGTCAGTTCTGACCCACAGCGACCTGGTATAGGGTTTCTGAGGAGCAGCTGGTGAGTTTAAACCGCCGAGCTTGCAGTTCAAATGGCTTTGCAGTCAGGCGAATTAACCCACAGCACCATACCAGGACTCTGGTTCAACATTGTTTTTGTTAAATGCTGTGTGGAGTGGACTCCAACCCACAGCAATCCTGTATAGGGTTTCTGAAGAACAGAACGACCAACTTTACAGTTCAACTGGCTTTGCAGTCTGGAGCATTAATCCACAGCAGGGTAAGTTAATTAAATGTTTGACCAACTATGTTGTTGTTGTTGAGTGCTGTTGAGTCGGTTCCAACCCATAGCGACCCTGTATAGGGTTTATTGAGGAGCGGCTAGTGAGTTTGAACCGTCGACCTTGTGGTTCAAATCCACTTTGCAGTCCAGTGTATTATACAGCAGTGCCACACCAGGAATCCTTGATCAAATATAGCAGGCTAATTTTTAAGTTGATAATTTTGTACGGCCTGTGAATGATGTAATATATTTTGGCAGAAAAACAGTTTTCTACCCCTGCTCTAAGGAGCTCTGATAGTGCAGTAGATTATGAGCTGAGCTGCTAACCACAAATCAGCAGTTCAAATTTATCAGCCACTCCTTTGGTGAAAAATGAGGCTTTCTGCTCCTATAAGATTTATAGCCTCTGACCCTTTGCCAGGGTTCCTTTGCCCTTTGAGTCAGAACCAACTAACCAGCATATAACCATACCCCTCCACCCTTCATACAGGGTTATCTACAATGCAAAACTACTCAACAGCACTTGATAACAACAAAAACTAAATCTGCTTCATTAATATAACAAAGACAACCTATTCCCAAATGGGATTACAGTATAACCACAGGCATTCCTGTTGCTTGGTGTCCTGCAGTCATTTTCCACTCACTGATGTTAGGTGCCTTCCAGTCTATTACCACTCAGAGTGACCCAATGCGTGACAGAACAAAATAGTGCCTGGTCCCACTCCATCCTCACAATCAAAGCGTGAGCCCATTGCTCTTGCCACTGTGCCAATCCATCTCCTTGGGGGAATCTTCCTCTTTTATGCTGACCTTCCATTTTACCTACCATGATATCCTTCTCCAAGAAGGGTCCCTCCTAAGGGCATATCCAAAGTTTGAGAGAAGTAGTCTCATCCTGGTTTCCAAGGTGAATTCTGGTTGTACTTCTTCCAACACAGATTGGTTTGTTGTTCTGGAAGTCCATAGTACTTTTAATATTCTCCTCCACCACCATACCTCAAATGCATCAATTCTTCTTTGGTCTTCTTTATTCACTGTCCAACTTTCACATGCATGTGAAGCTGCTGAAAATACCATGGCTCGAGTCAGGTGCACTTCAGTCCTCAAACCGACATCTTTTCTTTTGAACATTTTCGTAAATCTTGGGCAGCAAATCTGCCTATGCAATACATCCTTTGATTTCCTGATTGTTGCTTCCATGAGTGTTGATGGAGGAACCAAGAAAATTGATGTCTTTTACATCTTTTATCTTTTCTCCATTTATCATGGAGATTTTTTTTTACTGGTCCAGTGGTGGGGATTTTTGTTATCTTTTCACTGAGGTGCAACTCATACCAAGGGTTTGGTTTTTGATCTTCATCAGTAAGTGTTTTAAGGTCTTCTTCATTTTCAGCCCGCAAGGTTGTATCATTTGCATATCACAGGTTGTTAATGAGTCTACCTCCAATTCCGATGCCTCATTCTTCTTCATAATATGCAGCTTGTAGGATTATTTGCTCAGCATACAGACTAAATATATATGGTGAAAAATGTAGTCTATTTGATTTTTGTATATTCCATCTGATGAGGGGTCCAAGCATATAGTCATCTTATATGTAGTTTATAAAAGGTACTTGCAATCAATGAAGAATTCACTGGTCTTGCAAAATTCTATCATGAGATCTCCAGCATCACTTCTATCCCCAAAGCCATATTTTCCAACTACTGATCCTTCCTTTCTGTTTCCAACCTTCACATTTCAATCATCAGTAATTATCAATACATCTTGATTGCATGTTTGATTAATTTCAGACTGAAGGAATTCTTTCAATTTCATCATCACTGGCTTCAGTGATTAGTACATAAATTTGAGTAATAATAGTATATTAACTGGTCTTCCTTGTAGGCATATAGATATTACCCTATCATAGACAGTATTGTATTTCAAGATACATCTTAAAATGTTCTCTTTGATGATGAATGAGATGCCCTCCTCTTCAATTTGTCATCCCTGGCATAGTATAAACCATGTGATTGTCAGATTCACAATGCCCAATGCCATTCCATTTCAGCCCACTCATGCTTTGGATATCTATGTTTATTTGTTTCATTTCATTTTTGACAATTTCTAATTTTCCTAGATTCATACTTTGTACATTCCATGTTTCAATTATTAATGGATGTTTGCAACTATTTCTCCTCATTTTGACTTGTTCCCCATCAGCAAATGAACATCCCAAAGCTTTACTCAAATAGCGTCATCACGGTCAACTCCACTTTGAGGAAGCAGCTCTTTCTCAGACATAAATTGAGTGTTTTCCAACTTGAGGGTCTCCTATTCCAGCACTATATACGACATGTTTCAATATCCAATATTCTGGTGGTTGTTCAGATAACCCAGCTTCTTAGATTATTTGCTCAGCATATAGACTGAATAAGTATGGTGAAAGAATACAGCCCTGGCACACATCTTGCTGATCTTAAACCAATCAGTATCCCCTTGTTCTAATGACTGCCTCTTGGTTTGTGTATAGGTTTCTCAAGAGCATAATTAAGTGCTCTGGAATACCCATTTATCACAATGTTATCCATAGTTTGTCATGATCCACAGTCAAAAGATCATGCATAGTCAATAAAGCAGAAGTAAACATTTTTCTGATATTCTCTGCTTTCAGCCAAGATCTAACTGACTAAAGCAATGGGATCCCTAATTCCATGTCCTCTTATGATTTCTGCTTACATTTCTGACAGTTCTCTGTTGATGTACTGTCACAACTGTTTTTGACTTATCTTCAGCAAAGTCTTACTTGCATGTAATATCAATGATATTTTTCGATGATTGCCAGCATTCTGTTGGGTCATCTCTCTTTAGAATAGGCACATATATGCATCTCTTCAAATCAGTTAGCCAGGCAGCTGTCTTCCAAATGTTTCCTAGAGGGTAACATTATCTCCAGCTGGGTCTCACTGACTTTCATCCTTGCATTTACACATATTAATCTCTTCCTAAAACAGGACCTACTTTTTTCCTTAACCCTAACCAGGAATTTCTCCACTTGGCTAACTCGTTCATGAACCTGAAACTTCAGCTCAAGTATCATCTTTCCATGAAGTACTTCTGATTCCTTCCAACACAGGGAATACTTGACCTTTTTCATGGGTATCCTGAGTACTTAGCACTTAATCCAATCACAGCACTTTATAAAAAAATGTTTTGCTACTGTTTGACTATCTTCCCTATCAATCTTTGACTAATGTATTTCCAATACCTACTACAATATATTTAACACATCAGATGCTCAAAAATTATGGAATTAATAGATAATAAGGAAGTATACAAATTCTAAATAATAATGACAGTTAAGAAAATCAAAGTTCTCAGTTGTTAGAATCATGTTATAATCTCAAATTCTGTCAGAAGATGTAGCCAACTTCCATTGAGAGAAAAGAAAAGAGCATAAAACGCAAATTAAGAACCAAGATGCTAACTCACAGCTTGTAAGTACCGGAAAGACAAGATAGGACCGCTTAGTGCCCCACAGGCATTACTGTCTTCAAAGTCTCCTTCTTCAAGCAGGAATTGCTGGCCTTTAAAATGTTCTTTTTCATAGGCAACCCACCTAAAAATAGAGAGGACATCCAATAGAACCATTAATAAAATTGTAGTCAAGACAGCAAAAAGAGAAAAATCATGATAAAGTACCTAGTTGCTCATTACCATATTCTTAGAAGAATCACATTTGTTTTGTTTCCATTGACAAAGACTGTAGACAGTGTATGCTTCATTATTCAGTATTCTCATAGTTTGGAAGGCTGTCACAACTAAAGGTTATTTGTAGAATTGCAATAAAGCAATGCTCATTAAATGTTTGTGGCATAACGTGGTTATCAATGTGATCACAGTTTGCCAAGTAAAAATAATGGAAAAAAACAAGCAGGCAAGGAAAAAAACAAGACATACACTCACACTCAGATCCATAGGCAATCATTCTTTTTTTTACTGGTTTAAGTCCTAGAATCACAGAATGTGATTAAATGTTTATTCAGGGTTTAAATCAAGTGACCCTCCTCTTCATCAAGCTTCATATGTTGTTGTTAGTGCCATCGAGTCAGTTCCGACTATTAGCAACCTTGTATATGGTTTCCAAAGAGCGACTGGTGGGTTTAATCGCCGACCTTGAGGCTCAAACTGACCATGCAGTCTAGTGCATTATCCTACAGTACCACACCACGACACATTAGAGACGGTTTATAGAAGGGGAAATGCTACAGTTAGTTGTTTTTGTTGTTAAGTGCCGTGAGTCATTCCGACCCTTAGCGACCTTGTAGAGGGTTTCCAAGGAGTGACTGGTGAGCTTAAACTGCCTTTGCAGTGTAGCGCATTAACCCACAGTGCCACATCAGTACTCCATTACAGTTAGAGACAGCCATAAATATTTATAGGTGGGAAATGTTGGTCCTACCATTTTATCAGTGTTGTGAGTGGATACAAGAAGCACTGAGACAGACTACTTGTTAAGAACAAACAATAATTTCTCATCTAAAACTAGCACTATAGGACTCTGATAAACACCATTAGTTAATGAACTCCTCTATGAAACTTAACCTTTGTATGAAGCACACCCACAGCAGGAACAAGGCATTATAGGCATAGATGGTTAATATTGTACGCTGACCTGCTTAAATCTGCCTAGTCTCCTTCTGTTGCTCTGTGTAATTGGGATGGAAATAGCTCTATTTGGACAGATTCCAATGATGACTATCTTGAGCTTCTGAGTTGGGGGCTTCTGAATGCTAGAGCTCAAAAAAATTAAGTTTACTGGGGGACTCCTTACTATTTTTTTTTTATTCCTCCACCACTATATGGCACAAAGTAACAGTAACCATGCACTCTCTGGGCACAGATGTGAGTATGGCAGGGAAAGAAGGGATTCACATGAGTTGGACACCTGGCATGGCGCTGTAGGATAAGCACTGGACGGTGAACCAGAAGGTCAGCATTTCGAACCAACCAGCTGCTGCTTGGGAACCCTGTGCAGGGTTGCAGTGAGTCAAAATCAATGAGACAACACATAACAATAAAAATAACATATTGTACATCTTAGTAGATGGTAATATTTAAAAGGGCTGCTTTATTCTTCAGCTATTACTTATATAAAAATACTTTTCTCAAAAAGACTCTCAAATTTTAAGTTTATTATGGAGTACACATTGGCTTGCTAACTACAAGATCAACAGTTCAAATCCAGCAGCTGCTCCATGGGAGAAAGATGAGGCTTTCTGTACCCAAAAAGAATTTATAGCCTCAAAAACCCTATACTGCTTCTATTACAGTAGCATCAATATTAGCCCACAGCACCACACCAGGGCTTCATATACCATTAAAAGTATGGCTAACCAAAGCAAGCTTTTAATATACCTATATGGAATCCTGGTGTGGCACTGTAGGATAAGCACTGGACTTGTAACTGCAAGGTCAGCCATTCAAACCAACCAGCTGCTCCTCAGAAAGCCTTTACAGAGTTGTCATTAATCATAACTGACTT